ACACACCAGAGGCTTGCACGGGCCCGGGATGGCTGCCTTGAGCTGCAGGCCAGTCCCAGGGCCGGAGTGGGGAGGGCGGGTGGGCAGCAGGGCCCCCCACTCTTCGGGGCGGAGAGTCCAGCCTCCGAGCCTCGTCCGCTCTGCGAGAGCGGGCCCCTCCCGCCTGCGACGGCCTGGGCCCGGCCCAGCCGCCGATCTCGGGAACTCGAGTGCCCCCGGGGACGCAGACAATCAATTAGAGTAGGCAGCGCCGCCTAAGTAAAAGCCCCGCTCTAATGAGGAGGCCGGAGACGCTGCGGCGGGCGGCAGGCGCCGGGCTGCGCCAGGCAGGCCGGGGCTCACAGGGTCCCGCGGCCACCAGTGCCCACCGGCGGCCAATCCCGCAAGTCCCCGTGCGTGTACTTGTTCTGCTTCTCATCATGAGGCCAGAGCTCGTCACAGGCCCCAGTGGAGCCGCCTTCAACAAATGCAGGCCACGAACATTTATTGTGCTGGGTGCGAGGGTACCACAGGGCAAAACGCACGGGCCGCCCCGTCCCAAGGTCTCAAAGTCTGGGACAAGTGACAGATACGTCACCAGGTAACCCACACGGGCTGGTGAGGGCTATAACAGGGACACACAGGCAGCAGTGGGGACCCGAGGGGGCATCAGAGTGGGCTTCCCGGAGGAGGTGACGCATAAGCTGCGATCTGAAGGATGAAGAGGAACAAGTCCCAAAGGAGGGAGGTGGGGGAGTATGGTGGTGTGGTTAGGAAGCAGTCCACGTGTTCCAGTTGTCGCAAGCTGTGTCACCAACCATGGTAGGCAAAGCGATGCTCCCCCAGACGTGTCCACGTCTGAATGCCGGCAGTCTGTGACTATGTTTCCCGCCATGTGAAGGGGAATTACAGTTGCTAATCAGTTGACATGAAGATAAAGAGATCATTTTGGATTATCCTGGGGACCCCAGTGCAGTCACAGGGGTCTTGATAAAAAGGAAGCAAAATCATCAGAGAGATGCATGTGAGAAAGACTGGCCTGGCCGTCGCTGGCTGTGCAGATGGAGGAAGGCGCCCCGAGCCCAGGACGCGGCGCCTCTAGAACCTGGAAAAGGCAGGAGATGATTCTTGCCGGAGCCTCCGGGAGGACCAGCCCTGTCCGCACCTGGACTTTAGCCCCATGAGACCTGTGTCGGACTTCTAAGCTATGGAACTTTAAAATAATAAATTTGTGTTAAGCTGGTAAGTTTGAGGCCAAACTTGGCATTCCTTGGCGCGTGGCCGCGTCACTCTGGTCTCTGCCACCGTCGTCCCATGGCCGTCTTCTCGGTGTGTCCGCGTCTCCCTCTCCTCTCTCATAAACGCACCTGTCATTGGGTTTAAGGCCCACCCTAAACCCAGGACGATTTCATCTCGAGCTCCTTAACTAATTACACCTGCAAAGACCCCGATTCCTGATAGGGTCCCATTCCGAGGCTCCAGGGGGGCATGAATTTGTCGGCAGGGGGTGCTATTCAACCTCTACATGTGTGTGTGTTTGGGTCTATTTCTGCCTCTGGAATATCAGCTCCAGGAAGGCAGGAATTCTGTCCATCTTGGACCTCGCAGTGTCCCCCACACCTAGAATACCGCCTGGCACACAGTAGGTGCTCAATAAATGTCCATTCATTCCGCAAGCAATTATGAAGCACCCACTGTGTACCAGGCCCATCTTTTCACACGGAGAGGGAGTTTTTTGCCTTCTCTGGAAAAGAGAGAAAATATCTGATTCTCCGTTGTTCCGAGGACCTGGGGCAAACTGAGTGAGGATGGGAGAGACCAGGGGACCGGATGGAGATTTCTGGTTCTTCACCGTGCAGCCCTGGGCACCACCAGCAGCAATAACAGGGGACCTGGAGGCAGAGGGAGGGGTGACGCTGTGATGGAGACGGTGTTTCTGCACCTTCTGGGGGTCAGGCTGGGGGAACAGGGGGAAAGAAGAGGTTGGTGGGAGAATCCCGCGGGAGACGGGACCAGAGGGGCCTAGTGCTGCCCGGCCCTGCTCTGGAGGGACAGGTTGAAGCTGCCGGGGGAGGCGGGGCGAGGCGGGGAGGGGGCTCCCCGTGTGGACCAGGATGGAGGAGGACAGAGAGAAGGAGAGCCTGGGAGGAGGCGTGATGGAGGTGAGGAGAGACAGACAGAGAGAGGCACAGAGAGATGCGTATTCTCTATAGCGACAGAGATAGAGAAACGCAGAGGACAGAGGCAGTCAGAGATAAAGGGAGGCGCAGAGAGACTGAGAGACAGAGAGACAGAGGCTCCCAGCCCATCCCCCACTTGTCCTCTCTGGGGTACCCCCAGGCCCTATGGCTCTGGCCCCCCCTTCCCCATTCCCCTACTTAAGACCCTTCCCTGAGGGGCTGCAGTCCCCAGCATGGGGTCTCCCCACCACAGAGGGGGACTCAGCCATGAGACCCTCTGGGGATTAGGGTGCTGACCCCCGACCCAGCCAGAGCCGGATCCCAGAAACAGGGGCACCATTTCCCCTGAAATGGGAGATGTGTCCACCACCCAGGCCTGAACTGACTTAGGGAGGCTGCATTCATGATGCCCTTACTGTTTGCGATCATCCCGGCATTGTCCCTGCCTTCTCTCCCACACCTCATCCCAAGCCTGCATGGGAGGGTTTTGCCCCATTTTACAGAGGAGGAAACTGAGGCCTAAAGATGGGGAGGATTGTCGCGGGGCACACGTTCATCCACTCGGAACACACGGACTGAGCACCTACTGTGTGCCAGGCCTTGTGCTGGGGGTCCTGGGTTCACTGTGGTGGCCAAGACTGACTGTGGCCACAGGCACAGGAGCACTTGAAGTGGAGGCCTGAAAGTTGAGTAACAGAAATAAGAAGAGAGAATGTGGTCCAGGCAGGGATGCAGCGTGTGCAAAGGGCCTGGGGTGAGAACCAGGCAGAGGATTCTTTTTAAAAACCAAAGAAGGAAATAAGAAGTGGATGATGTTGGCAAGGCAGGGGTGGATATGGTTTATTATTATTATTATTATTTTTAATAATTTTATTTATTTATTTTTCCCCCAAGGCCCCAGTAGATATTTGTATGTCATAGCTGCACATCCTTCTAGTTGCTGTATGTGGGACGCAGCCTCAGCATGGCCAGAGAAGTGGTGCGTCGGTACACGCCCAGGATCCGAACCCAGGCCGCCAGCAGCAGAGCGCGCGCACTTGACCGCTAAGCCACAGGGCTGGCCTGGTTTATTATTTTGAGGGCTCTTTTGGGGGTTCATATTTGCCAGGTAAATCTTTTTCTATTCTTTGACTTTTAAGCTCATCTGCATCATTCTTTTTTTTTTTTCCTGAACATTTTATTATGGCAAATTTCAAACATCTATAAAAGTAGAGAAAATAATACAATGAACACGCATGTACCCACCACCCATGTCAACATTTATCAATCCATGACTCATCTTTTTTCATCTCTTTTGATATTATTTTGAAGAAAATCCCAGACATCATATAATTTATTCATACACAGATCAGTTTGTATCTCTAAAAGATAAGGACTTATAGTTAAAAATTTAGCACTACTTCCATAATATCATCAAATATCCCATTGGGTTTTAAATTTCCAATTATATAAAAAAATTCATCTCTACAGTTTGAAACAGGATCCAAATGAGATCCACACACAGAATTGGTTGATACGTCTTCACGTCTCTTTTAGTCTATAGGTTCCCATCCAGCTCTTTCTCTCTTTTCTTTTTTCCATGCAATTTCTTTGTTGAAGATGCAGCATTCTGTTTTAGACGTGTGACCTCAAAAGAACACAGAAATGGATTTTGTTTGTTTGTTGTTTCTGTGCATCCAATTTGAGAATCTATGTCTTTCAAGTGGCGGGTTTAATCCATTTATATTTATTGCATCTATGGACGTATTTGGATATATTTCCATCACCTTCTATTATTGTCTTTTCTGTCCAACATGATTTTTTTTCCCATTGCTTCCTTTTTCCCTCCTTTTCAACCTTCTGCTGAATTTGTCGGATTTTCTTTGCTTTCTTTTTTATTCCCTCTCGTGATTCAGAAGTTATCCGTTCTATTTCTGTCCTCTGAGTAGTCACCCTTATACTTTTTAACGTGCATGCTTAGCTTATCGTGGCAGAGTGTTAATCAACATCTCTTTGCATCTCCTAACAGGACAAGATTTTAGGATTTGTGCACACTGGACCCACTCCCCCACCCTCCACTCTGTGTGTCACTCTTGTCTGGCATTAGAGTCTCGCCTTGGCACACCCAAGGATGGAGATGGGGGGGTACCCAGGCAGTTCATCATTTGCCTGCAGGACTGGCAGAAGAGATAGAGATGGATACCAGGGGCCTTAACTCTCTATGTGACTTCAGGCAGGTCCTGCTTTGGGCCTCAGTTTCCGCATCTGTAGGAAAGCATTACCAGCCCCTCTTGTGCTAACATCGAGGATTTTGAGCCTCCCACTCTCATTTCTTCCCAGCACTCAGGCAAATCCGTGCAGGCAATTACAGTGCAGGACTGAAGTGTTGGGGGCGGGGTACTCCAGGAGCTCGCGGGAGAACGCTAATGTCATTATTTACTTCACTGAGCTACATAATCTCGGGAATTGCTCATCAGGGCCTGATAATTCGATTGGATTTCACGCACAATTAGGCCTTCGGAGTGAGGCATTTGTCGACCGGTTCGGGGAATAAGCCAGTCTCCCTGCCAGAGGGGCTCAAGTTGAGGGGGCAGCGATGGGAACCCCACCCCCGACCCCAGGAAAGGGCCAAATTCAAGTCCAGAGAATAGTATCACATAAGGACCAAGCTCAGCTAATAAACACGACTAATGTTTTGTCATTTTGGCCTGAGATTTTTGTTTTCCTTTTTGTGTGAACGAATTCAGAACAATCAATTTAAAATCTAAGTAGGTCCTCCCTCCTCTGCCCAAAGCCCTCCAGGGCTCCCACCTCCCTCGGGGGGGAAGCCCACCAGGCCTGCACCACCTGCCCCGTCCCCTCCCTGCCCTCCCTCCTCCCTCTCTCCCCCTCGCTCCCTCTGCTCCAGCCACGCGGGCTCCTCGCTGTTCCTCCAACACGCCAGGCACAGTCGTGCCCCAGGGCCTTTGCACGGGCTGTGCCCTCTGCCTGGAATGCTTTCTCCCAAAGTCTTTTGTTCCTAGTGATTGGTCTCCTGTTCATCCTTTAATACTCCGGCTCCAAGCCCCTCTTCTGTGCAGCCTGAATTCTCCTACCCAAACCACAGCCTCCTCTCCCAGCTCCCCTCTGGACAGCACCCCCCCACCAGCGCCAGCTCCCTTCCACCCCGGCCTGACCACGAGGGCTGGGGGTGGACTCCTGGCCTCCAGCACCTGCCCGGGTACCTAAAGCTAAGTCCTCGAATAACACAAAACAGGAGTTCCAACGTTTGTGACCCGGACGTCACTCTGAGTCTCTACGGCTGACCAGGTCTGTCTCCCTGATCTCTGTAATTATCTCTCCATCTCTCCTCATCCGTGCATATCTCTGACCTCATGTGTCTCTCTGTGTCTGTATCTCTGTCTGGGCCTCTTTGCTCTCCAGCCCTCCCACGGGGCACCTGATTCACGCACAGCCTCTCCCCCTCCCTCAGCCCCCTCCTCTCTTTTCTCCCCTCCCCCAGCTACTGTGGACACACATACCCCTCGGTCACGGGTCACAGAGTGGGGAAATGGTCTGGCCTCCCTCCCTCGGCCCCCCGAAACCCCCTCCCATCCCTTTGCCTCCCCTCTCCCCTCTGACATTCTATTTCAGTCTGTGTCAGCAGGTATCTCAGATGTGCTGGGCGCCCTCCCCCAGCACTGCCCGTCTCTGAGCTCCTCATCTCTACCGGGCTGGGGCCCCCCTCTATTTCCGGGTCCCTCCACCTGCTCCCCGCCTCCCCAGCTACTCAACTTAGAGCTGGGAGGCGGACTTGAAATGTATCCTGTGGTCTCACCTTCTCCCCGCCTGGCTGGGAGTGTGGTGGGGGGACCAGAGAGGGAAAGGGGCCTCCCCAAGGTCGCCCAGCGCCTGGCCTGGGACCCCCCAGCAGCTCCCACCTGCTGTGGGAGCCTGTGGAAGTTCAGCTTCCTCATCTGTATGGGGACAATGAGAGTGCCACCTCATTGGGTGACGATTAAGCAAACCAGCACGAGGAAGGTGCTTAGAACATGACGGAATCATGGGGACCCCTTAGACACCACTATTCCCAGGAGGTGGAGGGGGAGCTGGGGAGGGGCCAGCTTGCTTTGGGACCCTCGCCCAGAGGCCAGTTTGGGTGGGAATGGGTGGCCGGGGGTGCATGGACTGGGGGTGGTGGGTGGATTGGAAAAGCTGGTTTGTTCTACCCAGGAAAGAAGCACGGATTGGGGGCCTGGGGGAGTCATGGATTGGGTTGCCTAGCAACAGGGATGAAGCCGACAGACGGGTCAAGACCACAGATGTCCTGGAGTCTGGGATGGGGGAGCTGACATTCAGGATTTTGCTGGGGAGGCAGATATTAATCAAAGATTAATTTGTGTGTGTGCGTGTGTATAAATTCACATGTTCGACCCGTATTTATTGAGCACCTACTGTGTGCTAGGCGATGGAAACACAGCAGTGAACAAAACAGACGGGAGTCCTCGCCCTCACGAAGCTGATGTTCCAGGGCGGGAGGTGGAGGGTTAGCAAGATAAATATAAGGTCAAATGGTGAGCCGTGCCATGGATAAAACAATGTAGGACGGGAGGATCAGGGAGGGGGATGGGGCTACTTCAGACAGAGTGGTCACAGAGGGCCTCTCGGAGGAGGTGACATTTGAACACAGACCAGAAGGAGATGAGAGAGGGAGCCATGCAGAGAGAGGAAGGAAGAACATTCCAGGCAGAGGGCACAGCACACACAAAGGCCCTGAGGCAGGACCATTACTGGATTATGATGGATGTTTATAGACATGCATTTTTTTCTACCGTAACCGGATACTATTCTAAATTAAAACTCCCCTATCCCTTTTAACAGCTGCATAGTATTCCATGGCATGAGCATAAAATGATATCTTCAATGAAGCCCCAGTTCTACAACAGCCCTCCAAGGATCCCCGCCTCCCGCTTTATCACATCCTTGTGTAATCTCCTCCAGTTGGTGAGTGGGGCCAATGACTCATTTCTAACTGATACAATATAGCAAAAGTGATACAATGTTACTTCTGAGATTAGTTAGGTTACGTAAGATTGTAACTCCCGTTTTACTGGTTCCCTCTCTCTTTCTCTCTCTGGCTCTTCTCACATTCTTGCCCTGATGGAGGAGGCCACCTAGCAAGACACCAAATGCCACCAACACACACACAAGCAGACTTGGAAGCTAAGCTGCCCCAGTCAAGCCTTCGGATGACACCACGACCCTGGCCATCTCCTTGAATGTGGTCTGGAGAGACCCCGAAGCAGGGCACCTGGCTAAGCCACGGGGTTCCCGACCCACAGAAACCGTGGGTGGTGATATGTGTTGCTTGAAGCCTCTAAGTTTGGGGTCACTTCTTACACAGCAGGCGATGACTGAGACAATACGCATGACTTCTTCTTTGGGGTCTGTTTCTGGAAAGGGTGGGGCAGAGGCAGAGGGAACAGCATGGGCAATGGCTTAGAGGTGAGACAGCCTGAAAAGCAGTTTTCTCTGGGCGGGGGGAGCGCAGAGTGGGACAGGGAGGGCAGAGTTTGGGCTTCGCTCGAGGGAATAGCGTGGGACGGGAGGAATCTGGTTTTAGACTCTGGTCAAGGCTGTGTGGGGATTGAGCTGTCGGGGGGCAGTCTTGGGGGGGGCCGGGTCTGGGACCCCAGAAATCTCCTGTCACTGCCCTGTGAGTTTTACATCTTCTCCATCCTCTAAACCCCCCATCTCTCCCTCCCTGTTCTCTCCACTGCCCGTGACGGAGAATGGAATTATATTTTTATAACTTCTTGTTTTTCCCTAACCGAGTTCCATGTGCACCGGGCTAAATTTAAAATCGGATGGATGTAAGGAGATGATGCTCACTCTCGCTCCCCTGGAGAAAAACAAACGCATCGATTCAGGTGCTGCTTCCCCCAGGGATGCAGGAGGGGGGGAGGGGGCCTTTTTAATGGGGAGTGACAGGGCTGAATTGGGAAAATTCATACCCGGATCCCAGTTGCCTCTCCCCTGAAAGCTGATCCTGACCCACCATCTGAGCCGGGGGCTGCCCCTGGGGTTTCCCATCACGGCCCGGGTCACCCTGCATTGGAACTGCCTGCTTACATGTTTGTCGTCTCCTCGGAGCCCTCGCTCTTGCTGTCCCCTCCCCCAGGCACACCTTTCCCACACATCTAGGGCCGGCTCACCCTTCAGGTCTCAGCTCAAATGTCACCTCCTCCGGGAAGCCCTCCCTGACCACACTGGCTCAAAAAGCTACCTGGTCGCTTTCTATCCCATCATCTTCTTGCCTTTTCTTTCTGACGCCTGTCATCATCTGGAATTCTCTTAGGCTAATGATGGCAATTCATTAAGTACAATTAAGGGAACTGGATCTTGGCTGCCCCACCGTTTTCAAGTCCAAACTACACGCTCGCAGAGGCCTGCCCATCCCCCTCACCTTCTCTATTAGTCTTTCTGGATAATTCATTTACCACTCAGCAAACATATTTTAAGTGGCTACTGCACCGGACCGTGTATCCAGTGGTTCCCAGCCCTGTGTGCACATTAGAATCACCTGGGGACCTTTTAACTCCTACCACCGCCTTCCACCTGCTCCCCTGACCCCAGGAGACTCTGAATTACTTGGTCTGGAGTTGGGGGCTGGGTATATGATTCGAATGTGCCCCTAGATGTGTCGAATGGCTGCTCTAGCTTTCTTCATTTCCCGGAAAGACCAGGCTCACCGCAGCCTCCAGGTCTTTGCTGAAGCTGGCGCCTCTGCCGGGAACGCTCTCCCACTTTCGACCCCCCTATTTAAACCCCCCCACGACTTTGTCTCTTCATTATAATCATTTATTTTTAATTTTAAAAACAGTGAAAAAGAAAGGTGCAAAGACGAATTTGGCGCACACCGGTGATCTTCCACCTGGGACTCACAACGAAGGGTTAACACTTGTCATATCTGCTTCACGTCTTTTTCACTTCGCAAGAAACAAACAAAATATTAGAAGGGGAGATGACGTCTCATTTGATCCTCACTTCCATCCACACATTTTTATATATTTATATACGTACATACTCTCACACACATGCATCCACGAACAGTGAATAGGATTATTTTGTGCATTAAAAATACACACTAACGTACTCACGTGGTATATGAAATTCTGCACCTTGCATTTTTCATTCAATGTTTTACTTTTGACTGCCCAAGTTCAAATGTAAGCTCGGCCACGTGCAGGCTCTGTGACCTAGGGAAAGTGACTTAACCTCTCTGTGCCTCATTTCTCTCATCTAGTATAGTAGTCATCTACTGCTGAATAACAAAATACTCTGACACGGAACAGTTTAAAACAACAAACATTTATTATCTTGTAAAATTTCTAAGGGCCAGAAATTTGAGAGTGGTTTACCTGGGTGGTTCTGGCTGGAGGTCCTTTGTGAGGTTGCAGTCAAGACACTGGCTGGGGCTGCGTCATCTGATGGCTTGACTGGGGCTGGAGGGGCCGTTTCCAAGGTGGTCCACGCCCATGGCTGTTGTTTGTGGCCATGTGGACTTCTCCACAGCGTGGCTTGAGCATCCTCACAATATGGCAGCTGGCTCCCCCCTCGATTGGGTGATTCCAAGAAAGAAAGAGCCAGAAGGAAGCCAAAGTGCCTTTTATGATCTAGTCTGAAAAGACACACGTTGTCACTCCTGCCTTATCTTATGCATTAAAAGCAGGCACTGAGTCCAGCCCCCCCTCGAGGAGCGGGGAATTAGTGTCCACTTCTTGAAGAAATCCTCAAAGAATTCATGGACATATTTTAAAGCTGCCACATTTGGCAAATACGGATATTAATACTCCCTACTTTTTGGGCTGGTTTTCTAAAGGATGTTATGTTCTCGCACGTAAAGTGCTTAGCATGGTTGCCTGGCACCTAGTGGTTACTCTATAAATAATAGAAATTATTTTTGTGTACATCGAATTAATTCCTTTTTGACTGCTCTATGCTATTCCATACATGCACCTTCATTTATTTATCTGTTCTCCTCTCGATGGATTTTTGGGTTAATTCCCATTTTTTCATATGACAAACACCACTGCTGTGAGCAGCCTTTACAAATCTCTTTATGCTCTTGGCAAAATATTTCCCTGAGGACTGTGACTAAAAATGGAATCCCTGGGACAATGGGCATGCGAACCTGGTGAGCATCAATTCTCTTCCGTTCTCTCTCCATCTGTGACCCGGACAACAGCTCACCAGAGTTAATGCCTTTGCACACGCTGTTCCCTCTGCCTGAACGCTCTTCCTGCAGATAGCCACATGATCCCTCGTCACCTCCTTCAGGTCTCTGCTCAAAGGTCACCTCCTCAGAGACGCCTTCTACGATGACCTGGTGCCTCCACGAACCTGCTTCATTTTTGGTGAGAGAACTTACCACCTGCCATTATATCATGCATTTTATTCAATTGTTTATTGTGTGTTTTCCCCACTGGAACGTCAGCTTTATGAGGCAGGATTTTTGTCTGTTTTCTCCACTGCTGCATCCCCAGAGCCCAGAACAACGCCTGGTACACAGTAGGTGTCCCATAAATGCTGGCTGAGTGGGCGTCGGGGCTGGACGGAGCTCTCTGGGGTCCTGATTCCCTCGCCCTCCCTCGGGTTCCATCCTGAGATCCCCGGAAGCAAAATCAGGGTGTCAGCAGAACTGCCTTCCTTCTGGGGGCTCTAAGGGAGAACTTGTTTCCTTGCCTTTCCCAGCTTCTAGAAGCTTCCTGCATTCCTCGGCCTGTGCCCTCTTCCTGCACCTTCAAAGCCGGCAAAGGTGGGCCAAGTCTCAACCTGCATCGCTCCTGTTCTTTGCCCCCGTTGTCTCATCCCCTTCTCTGGCTCTGGTGTCCCACCTCCCTCTCGTAACGACCCTCGTGATGACATGGAGCCCACCCGGGTAATCCAGGATTATGTCCCCACCCCAAGATCCTTACCTAAATCCCATCTGCAAAGTCCCTTTTGCCATGGAAGGTGACATACGCACAGATTCTGGGGATTAGGATGGGGACGTCTTTGGGGGAGACTCGCTATTCTGCCACCCACAAGGAGATGCAGACGCGGATATGTTAATTCATTCTATAGACATTTATTGAGCGCCTACTGTATGCTAAGCTGTTCTAGGGGCTGGATTAGCTAGATACTCCGACCTTCGTGGAGCACAAATTCTAGGGAGAGGGACGGATGGGAAACACGACGATGAAGCAGACAGGACAGCTGATGCTGGCTGTCAGGGGGTGTCCCCCCGAGGGGGTGATGTCTCAGCACATGGTTCTAGAATCTTGTGACCAGCGTTGCCCAAAGTACCACGTGCTTCTCAGTCACAGATAACGCGGCTTCAGGGGTGCTCGGCATGGGATGAAATAACCTCCAACTCCAGCGGCAGAGGCTCCTCTTAAATGTTCTTTCCATCTTTCTCAAGTCCCATTGGGTCCTGGGGGTCTGTGACATCCCTCCCCGCCCCCCAATCCCGCCACACGCCCCAGGATCTGTGCTTCCGCAGGCGGCAGGAGCCGGCGAGATTCAGATTAAATTGTATTTTTGGTCACCTTCTACCCATGGCGAGAGATGCTGATTTTTCTTGCACCTTTATGACGAAAACAAAATAATAATAATAATGCCCTAAAATAACCGGTACATTTACTGATGTTCCAAACGTGAGCAGGTGTAAAGGAAAATATTAATTAAACGATTACGGATGTGGAGAAAATGGAAAATGTAAGAAACCGTTGGCACAGATGTGGAAAATGTTACCTGTCCGTTTTACGGATGGGGAAACTGAGGCCCAGGAAGGGGGAGGACTTCTCATGATCATGACCCCTGGGAGGGGCTGAAGGTCTTTCTCCAGGAGAAGAGGGTGAAGGGAGCAAAAGGCACTCCATCGTCTCCTCCCCCTCCCCCTGTTGATGAGAAGGAGATGCTCTGTGAAGATCTCCAGGAAACAGCATCCCAACCCGTGCAAAGGCCCTGGGGCAGGACCCGGCCTGGCCTGTTGGAGGAGCAGCGAGGAGCCGGTGTGGCTGGAGCAGAGGGAGCGAGGGGGAGAGAGGGAGGAGGGAGGGCAGGGAGGGGACGGGGCAGGTCGTGCAGGCCTGGTGGGCAGTGGGGAGGACGTGGGCTTCTCCCCCGAGGGAAGTGGGTGCCCTGTGGGCAGAGGAGGGGACCTGACTCAGTGGCGCACAGGCGCCCTCTGGCGGCTTCGGGGAGAAGGTGCTTGTTGCCCCAGATCCTGGCTGGGCGCGGGGCCGCCCCGTTATTTCACCGTCACCCCCTCCCGAGGTGGGAGGATGAGGTCAGCGGCGCCCGCAGCTCAGGCCCCGGATGAAGTCACCAGGACAGCCGGGAGGGTATGAGGACGGGGCGGAAATAGATTTCCCACCTGCCCCCCTGTCCCTCCAGAGAGGTGACGATTCGAGAACCAGCGGGAACGTGACACATCGCGGGCTCTCGGCGCCGTCCTCAGCACGCCTCGCTGCCCCAGAGCCCCCTCCTGCAGGAAGCCCTCCCGGAGTGCCTGGACGCTCTGGGGTCTTGCAGGAAGCTGCTGGGGGTAGCACCTCAGGGAAATAGCGAGCGAGGCCAGAGAGGCTGGAAGGGAGGGTCAGATAGTGCTCATTTTACAGATGACAAAGTTGAGGGTCAGAGAGGGCCACGGACTAGTCTGAAGTCACACAGTAGGTAACTAGCAGAGCAGGAACTTGAGCCCTTCTAGGAAAGGTTTGTTGAATAAGTAAATGATGGTGGGTTCATCGTGGGGCTCTACTTCCATTGGAACTCCTTGTGGTTTCCTTTCCTGTGGGGATTAAGTCTCAGGTCCTGATTTTCGTGGTGGATCCTCCAGCTCAGACCCCATTCGTCATTCCTCCCCCGGCACCTGGCTCCCATCACCCAGCCACTATAAGCAACTTGCTGTTTTCACACCTCTAAGCCTTTGCCTCTTCCTGAAACACCCTCCTTCTCGTTGCCAAATGCTGTTGGCTCCTGGAAAGCTCCTATTCAACCATCAAGACCCCAACTCCAATGCCCCCTCTTCCATGCAGCCCACCAGAACCCTCACAGATAAACTCTCTCCCTTCAGCTCCCTGAGTTCTGAAACCTCCTTTTGCTGGGAGGGTCTTTTGGGGCTCTGTTCCCCCCAAGATTGGGGGCTCCTTGAGACCTAGGTCTGGAGGATGAGGCTGCTCTGAGCCTGGGGCTAGGAGGTGGGTGGGGAAGTCACAGCTGAAACAGGGGCTCAGCACCAACCGTGTCCCCAACCCGACCTTGACCCTCTCTTTGCCCTTGTCCTCAACTCCGGCCACGCCCCCAAGCAGCTGATTTCTGCATCTCGCCGATAACCCCAAGCCCCCCAAATCCCCTCCACTCTTTTGGGGTGCCGTTGGGCAGGGCACCCTCTCTTTCCTCACACCCCTCCTCCCTGGCCTCCCAGCTCCAGTCCTGCCCACTGCTGTCCACCCCACGCTGGCCACTAGAGAGATATTCCAATACCCTAATCTCCTCCCGGCTCTGTTACCCTCCGTGGCTCCCTATCACCCTTGGGATGAAGTCTGGATTTCTATATCCAGCCTTTGACATCCCGAGGGTC